AGAATAAAAACAGACTCTCTTCAGAGGTAACGGAGTTCAGAATCAAGAATTAAAGTACATAATCTATAGTGTTCAGTACAAAATAAAAATTACTAGACATGCAAAGAAACAAGAAAATATGATTCATCATCAAGAGAAAAAACAGTCAATGCAAACCTAAAGTAACCCAGATGTTAAAATTAGCACACAGGGATTTTTTTTTAAGAGAGAAATTTAATTTCTTGTAATTTATTTATTCTCCATTCACAGCTACCTCATACTTCACTTTTTTTTTTTTTACATCTTTATTGGAGTATAATTGGCTTACAATGGTGTGTTAGTTTCTGCTTTATAACAAAGTGAATCAGTTATACATATACATATGTTCCCATATCTCTTCCCTCTTGCGTCTCCCTCCCTCCCACCCTCCCTATCCCACCCCTCTAGGTGGTCACAAAGCACCGAGCTGATCTCCCTGTGCTATGCGGCTGCTTCCCACTAGCTATCTATCTTACGTTTGGGAGTGTATATATGTCCATGCCACTCTCTCGCTTTGTCACAGCTTACCCTTCCCCCTCGCCATGTCCTCAAGTCCATTCTCTAGTAGGTCTGTGTCTTTACTCCTGTCTTACCCCTAGGTTCTTCATGACATTTTTTTTTCTTAAATTCCATATATATGTGTTAGCATACGGTATTTGACTTTCTCTTTCTGACTTACTTTACTCTGTATGACAGACTCTAGGTCCATCCACCTCATTACAAATAGCTCAATTTCGTTTCTTTTTATGGCTGAGTAATATTCCATTGTATATATGTGCCACATCTTCTTTATCCATTTATCCGATGATGGACACTTAGGTTGTTTACATCTCCTGGCTATTGTAAATAGAACTGCAATGAACATTTTGGTACATGCCTCATTTTGAATTATGGTTTTCTCAGGGTATATGCCCAGTAGTGGGATTGCTGGGTCATATGGTGGTTCTATTTTTAGTTTTTTAAGGAACCTCCATACTGTTCTCCGTAGTGGCTGTACCAATTCACATTCCCACCAGCAGTGCAAGAGTGTTCCCTTTTCTCCACACCCTCTCCAGCACTTATTGTTTGTAGATTTTTTGATGATGGCCATTCTGACTGGTGTGAGATGATATCTCATTGTAGTTTTGATTTGCATTTCTCTAATGATTAGTGATGTTGAGCATTCTTTCATGTGTTTGTTGGCAGTCTGTATATCTTCTTTGGAGAAATGTCTATTTAGGTCTTCTGCCCATTTTTGGATTGGGTAGTTTGTTTTTTTGTTATTGAGCTACATGAGCTGCTTGTAAATTTGGGAGATTAATCCTTTGTCAGTTGCTTCATTTGCAAATATTTTCTCCCATTCTGAGGGTTGTATTTTGGTCTTATTTATGGTTTCCTCTGCTGTGCAAAAGCTTTGAAGTTTCATTAGGTCCCATTTGTTTATTTTTGTTTTTATTTCCATTTCTCTAGGAGGTGGGTCAAAAAGGATCTTGCTGTGATTTATGTCATAGAGTGTTCTGCCTATGTTTTCTTCTAAGAGTTTGATGGTGTCTGGCCTTACATTTAGGTCTTTAATCCATTTTGAGCTTATTTTTGTGTATGGTGTTAGGGAGTGATCTAATCTCATACTTTTACATGTACCTGTCCAGTTTTCCCAGCACCACTTATTGAAGAGGCTGTCCTTTCTCCACTGTACATTCCTGCCTCCTTTGTCAAAGATAAGGTGACCATATGTGCGTGGGTTTATCTCTGGGCTTTCTATCCTGTTCCATTGATCTATATGTCTGGTTTTGTGCCAGTACCATACTGTCTTCATTACTGTACCTTTGTAGTATAGTCTGAAGTCAGGGAGCCTGATTCCTCTAGCTCCGTTTTTCGTTCTCAAAATTGCTTTGGCTATTCGGGGTCTTTTGTGTTTCCATACAAATTGTGAAATTTTTTGTTCTACTTCTGTGAAAAATGCCAGCGGTAGTTTGATAGGGATTGCACTGAATCTGTAGATTGCTTTGGGTAGTAGAGTCATTTTCACAATGTTGATTCTTCCAATCCAAGAACATGGTATATCTCTCCATCTATTTATATCATCTTTAATTTCTTTCATCAGTGTCTTATAATTTCTGCATACAGGTCTTTTGTCTCCTTAGGTAGGTTTATTCCTAGATATTTTATTCTTTTTGTTGCAATGGTAAATGGGAGTGTTTTCTTGATTTCACTTTCAGATTTTCATCATTAGTGAAAAATGGCATTAGGAATGCCAGAGATTTCTGTGCATTAATTTTGTATCCTGCTACTTTACCAAATTCATTGATTAGCTCTAGTAGTTTTCTGGTAGCATCTTTAGGATTCTCTATGTATAGTATCATGTCATCTGCAAACAGTGACAACTTTACTTCTTCTTTTCTGATTTGGGTTCCTTTTATTTCCTTTTCTTCTCTGACTGCTGTGGCTAAAACTTCCAAAACTATGTTGCATAAGAGTGGTGAGAGTGGGCAACCTTGTCTTGTTCCTGATCTTAGTGGAAATGCTTTCAGTTTTTCACCATTGAGGACGATGTTGGCTGTGGGTTTGTCACATATGGCCTTTATTATGTTGAGGAAAGTTCCCTCTATGCCTACTTTCTGCAGGGTTTTTATCATAAATGGGGCACACAGGGATTTTAAAACTGCTATTAAAATATGTTCAAAAGTTTAAAGGAAAATAGAGTCATAATAAATAAAAATATGGGGGAGCACTCAGGATAGAAATGGAATATATACAAAATGAAAGTTCTAGAATTGCAAAGTACAATATTTACATGGACCATTAATGGAGTGGGCTTAACAGCATATGGGAGATGTCAGAAGAAAGGGAAAATAAATCAAAGGTATTTATCCAACTTGAAAAACAGAGGAAAAAAAGATTGAATAAGAATGAACAGAATCACGGTGATCTGTGGGACACTGCCCAAAAGTCAGTCTGTCTGTCTGTCTATCTATCTGTTTATGCGTCCCTGAAGGAGAGGAGAGAGAGAATGAGGCAGAGATATTATTTGGGAAAAACAATGGCCAAAAATTTGGTGTAAAACATATACTCTGTATCCAAGAATCTTAATATCCCAAGAAATATAAATATCAATCTCTCCAACACTGTCACCACACACACATAGGCACAGTACAGAGAAACTACTGAAAACCAAAGATAAAGAGAAAATCTTGAAAGATAAAGCAGTTACAAACAGGATAATACCAGCATGAATGAAACCTAAATCTACATGAGAAAGAGATTAGACGACAATAAGGCATTTCTGAGATGGTTAAAGAAAAAAAAATGTTAAGCCAGAATTCTATATCCAGGGAAAATATCCTTCAAAAATAAAGATGATATGAAGGCGTTTTCAGATAAATGAAAACTGAGAGGATCTGCCACCAATAAATCTGCAACACAAGTTGTATATATTCTGACTTTGTATTTATGTATACCTGTGTGTTTGTATACACATATGTACATATGCATATGTATATACATATGTATACTTCGTATATTTGTATATATGTAAATATTCTGACTTTGCACTGGACTTACTTGCCTTCTAATGTTCTCCTATTATATTACCTGCATTGTTTCTTTAAAATAATTTAGTAAATATACTGTGATGTGTTTGTGCACGCTACTTAATTTTAATCTACAACTAGGGGTGGTTAGTTAACATTTAAAATATGCTAATCAAAAATCCTGCCTATAAGGATGCTTAACAGCTGAAGTGCCTCAATCAGGGGCACTCTCCAAAGGCAGCTAGAGCGAGCACTTCAGATACTGCTAATTATGTGTGCACATGTGTGTTAACTAGTATCAGGAATATCAGAAATAATTTTTCACTAGTGAAATGAATGTTGCTCTTCATACGTGGTGGCTGAAAATATTTTATAGTCACTGCTGCCCTTTCATAAATGGGGTCCAAGAATCAAGGGAGTAGCAGATGTAAGCTATTCTATACAGGACGGATAAACAACAAGGTCCTACTGTATAGCACAGGGAACTATATTCAATATCCTTTGATAAACCACAATGGAAAATAATAAAAAAAAGAAGGTCCACATGTGTACAACTGAGTCACTTTGCTGCACAGCAGAGACTGGCACAACACTGTAAATCAACTATACTTGAATTAAAAAAAAAGAGAGAGAGAGTGTCTAGCTGCTTAACTACAGATCATCCAGAGCTCTGCTTTATCTGTGTCCCATCTTGATGCAGGATTCTGCCTTCTGACGACAAGGGAAGGTAACAGATCCTGACATCAGTATATTGTTTAGTATGCTTATTCACAGTGAAACTGTGAGAGTTTACCTAGTTTGCTGAAACCGCTTATATGACTGAATGTCAAGCCTGCTTGTTAGTAAATATAATGTGGTGTATGTGGCAGAATTCAGGTGGGATTTGCTTTCATGATAACATACCATCTAGTGGTGGGGTCTCAGGGGAGGACATGTATAGCTCTCATCAAGTAAAGTTTATCTTAAGTCAGTTTGCAATCTCCCCCCAGACCAACTCTACCTCTCCCACCTCACCTGGCCAAGAAAAGGAGTCATTACAGGATCAACAAGCCTTTGCATGTCTTTTAAAAAATACTCCAGGTAGTAATTTATTTTCATATATGCTTGTATATATATGTTCATATATATACATATTCATTCTGGTTTGGCACTTACACCAATAAAATTTTATATAAGAAGACAATAGAGAACACAGTTTGATATTAAGAAATATTTTTAAGCGGACAAATTAAGTAAATGAAATTCTTCAGTGAATGAATACATAAAGAATTAATTGGTTCACAGATTTTGTAGCTGGCAAGAATTTTAAAGCCCCAGAGAGATCGATTATCTGACTCAAGCAAGCTTAATCAGAAGATCACAAATGCTTTTCTCTTTTGTAGGAAGAAATGCCACAACCTTTCTTTTAAAACAAAGTTCTTTTAAGCATTACTTTTGATAATTCATTGAGAGCAATGAATGAAATCATCATACCTCTAAATGGTATCCAACTCTGATGAAGGCACAAAGGGGGTCAAAAGCTCCAGTACCGCAGGTCAGAAGGTGCGTCCTATTATAGTGATGCAAAACCCGAACATAATTTGCACACTCACTCTAAAGCAGGAAAAAAAAAAAGAAATTGATTACTGTAATGAATATGTTTAGTTTTTGATTTTTGCTTTTCCGAGCCCTAGAAATCTCATGTATAACCCACACTTGGTTAGAGAAGGCAAAGGGGGCAGATGAAAAGAAGACAAGGACCAGTGGAAGAAGAGACGGAGGTGACCAATACAGCGATGTATGAATTACATTTAATAATGCGAGTGTATCATTTTCTTGTATTCTAGTACATGAGGAATTTTTAAAAAGCACTGTTCAGAAATTTATCCAGGTATATTTACATGGCAATATGTTTCACTAAATAATTAAATTCTTCCCAAACCTGTTATTTTTTTAAATTTCATATAAACAATGAATCAGCATAAAGTCAGAAAACAAATAACTAGAAAAAGCTTCATTACCCTTAAGGGAACATAGGCAGACCTTAGGGCACTACAGAGTTTTGAGGTTTGGGCAAATAAGTCATATCTTCAAACTCATAAATTCATAAAAAGTACTTTCATAGAGAATTTTCAAGTAAGCAGATAGAAAGCTAACTGATAAAAATAACATTTCATACCTATCACTATAAGATTACAGTCCTGAGATCAGCAAACTTTTTCTATAAAGGACCAGAGGGTAAATGTAATTAGTCTGATGGGCCATCTGGTCTCTACTGCAACTATTTACTTCTGCAGCTATGGCATAAAAGCAGCCGTTGACAACAGAAAAATGAATGTATATGGAAGTGTTCCAACAAAACTTCATTTATGGCAGGTCACATTCAGCCCCAGAGCTCTAGTTTGCCCATAATGGGATTCAACTGTAATCTTATCAAGGACAGAATCTTGATTTTACACGTCTTTGTATTCTGTAGTTAATCAAACCCAGTACCTGATACACACTCCATGTGTAACAAACTTTTAATAGATCAGTCATTAGTTGAGTATGCTGAGTGAAAAAAAGTTTAAAATGACTTCAGACAAAACTTGACTAAATTAATTTTAGCAAATACCTTGTTGGCAAAGCAGGTACTGCTAGTTCATTTAAGTTATGAGAGAAATACTAAACCCTTTTATTGCTAAATATCACTTTGACATTAGTACACGCAGTAGTCAGTACATATTATGTTTTATAAGGTCAGATTCTGACTTTTAAATTCTCTCATACAACAGTATTAGGATGAACAAGCCAGCAGAACTATCTCATCGTAAGTGATTCAGAATATAGCATTCCCTTGGTAAGAACAAGTAACACACTACTGAACCGATTACCTGGGGCACACCGACAGACTTATTCCTTTAATTTCCCCTTCATGCAGCATCCTAGTCTGTATATGACCCGTAGAGTTGGGAAAATCTAATATCCTATTTTCATATTGCTATAAGCACCTGCTTCTCATCTCTTGAAACTGTCACATCTTGAGTAAGCCGATTAGACCACATTTTGGCTCGGGTGGGCTTAGATTGACACAGCCTGTGAATGTGTTCAATTACTCAGCATCACGCTGTAGACTAAGGCAGCAAGAATGTCTTGACTCATCCCTTCGCTGTTACCCAGTTGCTGCAAGAATCAGGAGTTGGTACAATGTGTGTTAGATTTCTACACGGTATTTTTTTTTCTTACTGAGAAAAAGGATGAGTTAACTTTCAAAAGGAGCTGTGCATGCCTTCCTCCAAAGCTGTGAAATGTGTCGTTGGCCAGCTACTCCTAGCACGTGAAAAGTCCTTTCACCCGTGTACTCGTGTGTTAGCAACTATGGCAGGGCCGCTGCTGCTGGACCACCTCTTCCCTTTCACACGCTGCAGGAAGTTATGGAGAGATGGAATATTGATTCTTTCAGTAGGAGACATCCTCAAAACATGTGGAATATATAAAGCATGTTTACTGCCTTTGCCATCTTCTTTTAAGGTTTTTTTTTTCTCCTTTAGTTTCTTCATTCGTTTCTAATTTACTAATCAGGGTGAGATGAAATCTCACAAAGACGGTGCTTAGCTTTTCCTCAAATTAAGAAATTACCTGAAATTATTTTTGTCCCCAGTACATAGGAGATAAGCCTGACTAGAAGGAATTTATAAATCTGAGTTGACTAAAATATTATAAGACAAAATAAAACCAAGATCTAGATGGTACCTTGGTGCCCTACTCTACCTCTACACTGAAATTAATTTTTAAGTAATTATATATATAGAAAATGTACATGTATATATCATATGTGCATGTGTATACATGTGTATATATACATGTATGTATGTGTGCATATATATTGATATATATATGTATATATCAATATATAGATATATAGAGAGATAGATATTTATTCTTGAAATGAATTGCATATATGCGTTTTAGGAGCAAATAAAAGGTTAGAGATTCAGTCCTTCGTCACTGACCATGACTATAAATTGATGATTTGTTTAATTTACAATGAATAATACTCACGGCATCTTTTCCTTTCATTATGCATTCTTCTGTTTTTACTGCTGTACTTGGCCAGTGTATCTGGAATAAAAGATAATGGACTGTTATGCAACTGCATATAAAAATAAACCACACGGAAAAACCATTTCATTTTTCTTCTGCAATTCAATACATTTTATTTTGTTCTATTTTTGTTGGTTCTACTTCCTTCTTTGAGAAGATCAAGCAAGACTTTATCTTCTTTATGGCATTATTTGCCAAATTAAGACACTTATCTTTTAGCTTTTATTTTATGCTAAGCTTTATTATTACTTATTATTATTTTTTTTAATCTTTCTGAAGGTTCATCTCAAGTCTCAGGCCTTTAGAGGCCACCCATACTTCAACCAGCACTGCTCTGCATTTAACCTGCTGTGACCTCTGCTGTCCAATCTCTCTCCTGAACTTGTCTGCCCGCCAAAGGCCAGGAACCTCCTTAAGTTCCCTTTGCATTTTTACCACTTAGCACTGAACCTGGTGTGGTGGACTCTCAATAACATTTGTGCACAAAAGAATGAAAGGATTTATAATGAATGAATTTATAATTCATCCTTTGTTTATAATGTATCACTTCAAAATACACCACAAACATCTTTGATTATTTTTAAAACATTATTTAACTCTACCAGTTTCCCACTGGATTTCAGGAAATTTTCGTTGTATTTCAAATTTGTTGGTTTCTTCACTGAAGAGAGAATATATCAAATACCTCTTTTTCATCTCAAATAGTGCCTAGCACTTTGCTGGGACCACAGGCAGAAATCATTAAGTACTTTTGTTTTTGGAATGCAAGCAATGGTTTTCTCTATCCTTTTCTTTTCTCAGACTGTTTCTGTTCCTCTTTTTGCTTAAATGATAGATTAATCACACCATGTGCCAGACAGCGTGGCAAGAACTTTTAGTTTTTCTTTCTTCTACTTTATAAACTCATGTGCAGAGGTTTGAGTTTGTTATACTATGCAACTGAGGGCTCATTATTATCATTGGTCTTAAAAGGTCCCTCTCTTATTTTAATTATCTATTTATTTCCTTCCCTTCCCCCCCTCCATGTTCTCCCTGCATCCCTCCAGGAGGCAATCACTGTAAATTGTTCCTGGGAAGACTAACAGTTTTTTTGTTGTTTGCATATGTTCTTATAAAGTGTATATTGCTTTTTGTGCATTTTTTAATTTATGTAAATGGTATATTTTAATTTATGTAAAGTCTTTCTCATCTTTTATACTAAGAACTGGGTTTTGAAGACCCCTATACAAAGCCCTATGTACACATACAGTCTGTTGTTTCTAACTGCTTTGTAATATTTGGGGTATGGATCCCCCATATTCCCTCTTCTACTCTCCCAATGAGGACACCCAAATTGTCTCCAAATCTCCACCACGGCAAACATCGGCACATCTTCTCCCAATAAAACCTAGAGGAGTAATTTTAATGTTTATGATCTCTATGAACGGCTCATTTCAGTTGCAGTGACTACACCACAAGTGATGGTGTATAAGCTACTTTGGGAAAAGGCTTCTTACCACAATAGTCTGTTTTGTTTTAATAAAGTACTTTATTGACAAGAACCACTCCCTTCCCCCCCCCCCCCCCAAAAGCAGCAGCACATCTTTGTACATGTCCCTCTGGGATCTGTATAAGAATACCACTGGTATGTATAACCAGGAGCAGAATTACTGGGTCTTAGCGAAGCATACATTTAATGTTTTACTGTAGTGTCAGGTTGCTCTCCAGGATGGTGACATGTTTATACTCTACCAGCAATCCTCACTGACACTTGGCATTGTCAGCTTTCTAACTTTTGTACTGAGCACTTCAGATTCAACATTTAATTTAATCCTTACCAGAACTTTACCTAAGTATTATTTGGGAGCTTCTTTTTTAAAAAAAAAATGCATATTTCTCTGTCCAACTCTACAGTGCAGATCTATGGGTGGGAACCAAGGTATACAATTCCCTTAAGTAATTGTAGCAACTGGTAAGTTCTCAAATGTTTCCTGTGCCTCAAGATCTAAAAGCCTCCCGGTTAATAGCTTATCCCCTCACCTGCTGGATCAATCACTCCCCCTCCCCTGACTGAAAAAGCTCAATCTGCTCCCTTTCTTGCGTCTCTTTCTGAATTCCATGGGATAACCTTCTCATGCTAATGTATCATCTTCATGGGCTCTGCTGGTCAGCGATGATGAATTCTATTTTGAGCGATGCTGACTTTCACCAGAACCCCCTATAGTTTTTTGTTCATAGCCTCCAAAGGCCTGTGCCTTGGATCCACATGCCCTGGTTTACAATGTCTCTAGAAAGATCTGAAAGGCAAGCAACAGGCATGCCTTCCTATGTGGCACCATTCTTCTGGAGTCGAGTCTGAAGTCTTCTTTCATTGGGACAGGCACTCTCTGATTCTCTTCAGACTTTTCTTTTACCTGAGTGGCCCCTGTAGGCATTTTAGTTTTTGAAATCTGATATACATGTTTGAATCCCAAATATGGTCAAAATTTAAGATTTTTAAAAAAGCTGTGTCCCATACAATATCAGGTTAGGTATTTATATGCTAGATGGGGAAGAGGTTTGTCACTTAACTCACACATTACGTAGTCAAATCCAGGCCCTGACACATGAAAAATATTGGGGATTTATAAAAGTGGTGACAAGAGCATTTGATTATGGTGATCCTTTTATGACTAAATTTATTATCATAGGAGTAAGCACTCTAGGGTTTGAACTATAGGTGTATGACATTACTTTGATGTTATTATTAGTGTAATGAGCCCCCTAAGTTTCTTACTAACAATATTCAGCATTCATGTGTTCCTTTGCTTTCATAGTGCAGTACATAAACTTTTAAATAAAAACACAAGCGCTTTTTGTTACGTTGCAACATAGAAAAAAGACAAAAGGAAAAAAGTAGGGATATAAAAGAAAACCAACTAAGAAGTCCAAAGCACACACAGAATACCCTAGAATCAATGTGCTTCATTATAGCAGTAGATCTATCAGTGGATCATATATGATTCAGGAAAGATATCACATAAACAAGACAATGTCAGGTCCGACTGCAGGCTTAACATCAGCCTAAGGGGGGTTACCAACACCACTTGACAATAGGATTCTGGAAGTGAAGTTGTAGAATTTATAAACTTCACTGATCCTTTATTTTGGAAAAAATTCAGGCACTGAGCAGTAGGTTTTCTCAGATGATTTCTAAAACTTATTCTAATTTGAGATTCAATTTGGTTTTGGAATTATAATTTTACTGTGGATGCATAAATTATTCAAAAGGATATGCTAGAATGTGTATGTGTGTGTAAATACAAATTCAAAATACAAATTCATTTTAGGATCATCCATCATTGGAAAGATTTTCATGACTAATTTGCTTACCGACATGAATAAATCAGAGAATACCTCACCAGTAGAGCAGAATAATGCTTTTATATTCTTAACACCTTTAATTTATGAGATGCAGCACTTTTCTTCTTAGAATATTAGCATCTTTTTTTATTCATTTTTCATCATTATGTAAAACGGTGACTTCTTTAAACCGTAGTTCTACAATTTCAAAGTATTAGATAACTAATTCCTTGGAAAAATATACCAAAGTTCAGCTTTTCAATGTTGAAATAGTATCCAGACAATACAACCACCTCAACGTATTACCTCTTTCTCCTCAATCATTGCTTCATGAGGATTATTTCGGGGACTATTTGAACATATTGTCTGGGGGGCAATTCTCTAGAGGATTCTTATACTTTATTGACAGCTTTTGTTCCACATTATCTTTTCAAAGAGCCTTGGAAGACAGAGATAGAATCTCCCTTCAGGGCAAATAGAAGATTTGTTTCCTGACCAGGATAATAAAGATAATGTCTCCCTCTGGGCAAAGGTTGGACAGCTTTGCTAGCAAATCCCTTGTAAGACTGGGAGTTTTCTGAGCTGGAGGTTGGTAAAGCGGGTATGACACAAAATCACCGTGTGTACAGCGTCTACTTAGGCTGCTTTGCCCATCCCCTATGGGACTTGAGGAGGAAAAGACAAGATGGAAACACGAGGCTCATGCTACCTGCTGTCCTGTGAGTGACAGAGTCCTCTGTCTCTAGCCCAGGAGTTGTCTTCTGCCAGCATCAATGAAACTATGACAGGCTAACTTGTTGTCTTAAAAGCAAGGTAAAATTTCAGACCCTTCACAGTTCTTGACACAAACAAAAGATCATATATTATGTGGTGGCGAAGACAATACATGGCTTTTCTAGGATTGCCAGAACATGTGTTGTTTCTAGCAGCAAACCTAATAGTGGCAGTTGCTCTAGGAATAATGAAATCATTATTTCAGGCACGTCTTAGAAGACGTTTCCTGATTAACTTTTTCTGCAGATAGTATGTCTCCCTCCTTTGATCCTCTATATTGCTTTTCTTACTTTTTCTATCTATGACTATAATGATATGTATACTCAACTTCAGCTCTCTTATTAGGGCTATAAGTTACAGAGGGCAAGGCAGTGACTTATTGCCCCAGCCCTAAAATGCCTACCTGGCATAAGGCCTTAAATGCAATCCCTGCTCATTCATTGTCTATTGGCAGACTTGTATCAGTCAACATTTCTTTATCACATTCTTCAAAAAGTCAATTCAGTAAAGGATCCTACAATAAAGTGTGAGATATAGATTCACTGACATGAAAATGCTGCAAGCAGTGTCAAATAAATGAGACAAGTAACTTTCCAGTCTAATCAGGGAGGAAATCCTGCAGGATTTAGCAAGTTTGAGAGACTGGCAGGATTTCTGAGGGTAGAGAAAAGGGTGTTAACCAGATCACTCTGGGTCCATGGAAGGGAGAGAGGTGGAAGATTAAATTATGAACACTCACCACTAAAGTGCAACACAGGGTAACTCTCCAAATGAACAATGTCATTATATATTTACTCAAGTTTTGCTTTTGTTGTTGTTTATACATTAGTTTGCTTTGGTTTCTTTTTTTTTTTTTTTAACAAAATTTAACAGGCTCAGGACTGCATTCAAAGGTCCACTCAGGTGAGAAAAGATAAGAGAAT